ATTTGAAGAAGCCCTAAGAACGGATGCTCTGTAGACTCATTCAACTATCTATATTCTGCATTTTTCGATTTTATCTATTTCTCCTCATGTGGACATCAGGTTACAATCTTTGATTTATACTTGATCTGTAAGAGCTACTGAAATAAAAAAAGATGGACATTGATTGATTTGCTGTATAACCTTGAAGGAGTTTAGTTCCAGTTTAAAAATAACTTCACCTGCCGAGGCAATTAAATTCACTTGAGCATAAAGAGGTTTAAAATTATTTATAAACACTGATAAAAAAGCGTGTTCCTGTATTAAATTTTACCAATTTTTAATCACGATAAAATAAATCAGATTGATTGTTTAATCAATAATAAATTAAGCTGTGAGTTAAAGGGAAATAAAATTAATTTCCACCATTAAAATTTTTACTAGCTAGAAAATCACCATACTCATAATATAAGTCCCGCAGTGGACTCATCGCTAAGACACGGCTCCCAGCAGATCACCGAAGTCAAGGCTGCGGTCAGTGTGCGGGTGGGTGACCCCCTGGATCAGTCTGCGTAGGGACCGAGGGTGTGCGGTATGGGTCCTCGTTAAACTGTTCTACCGTAAAGTGCTCGACTTTGCGTACAGATCGTTGGGCTACCGAAGCGGGGGTGCCATCCCCTCTGCAGAGGATCAAAATTGTGATGGCATGTCTTCGGATCATCCCTAGGGATGCTTCCCAGACCGTCGCCAATAGCCCATTATGCAGCCCTAGTGAGACGTAAATGAACTACAACAACAATGCTCATAATATAAAATTTTGATATGAAACAAAATTTGTGCTATATACCTAAGAAGGTTAGAAAACTCTAGCGATGAAAAAATTAAGCATTGTTTGAAACAGTTTTTAAGCAGGGTAAATGAATAAATCAAATTCTAAAAAGTGCCATTTTTCAATACAACCAGTGAGCTTTACTTTTTTCAGAGCGTTTCAAAGCGAAACAAAGCTTAGTAGATTTATTTAGCACCGCTAAAAAGGAGCAATAGACTTAATTTTTGTACAATATAATCTTAACATTAGACGTTTTCCTATTATAATTATTTGATATCCTACTGAGACTCAGCATCTGATATATTGAACAACGTTTGGAGCAATTCAAAACTTTTAACAATGGTTAAAGATTTTTTTTTTCAGTTTGTATCTATTCAAAGCAATTGTCTATGCAGAAATATATTTATTGGACTTACCTTCGTTGGTTGGAGTATTTAATTAGAATTAAAAATTATTAATAAATGATCAGAAATTAGATTCAAGCAACGTTTTGGGCAGTTTCATGATATATAAATATCTTTTTTTATAACCGCCGTTGAGCAGCCGACACAATTTTGAGCTTACGACTACAAATGCTCAACTCCGTAACCTTGTAATTTTTGAACCAATCCAGAAGACAAGGAAACTCCTGGATCAGTACCTCCAGAGGTATTGATTTGTTATGGGAACATGGAGGACTTTGCTATTTGACAGATTTAACGTGCATCAGTCACCATTTACTACACGGGGAGTCTTCGGCCGGAGAGGATCGAACTCACGAACTCTTGGGCATGGGCCCAGTGTCCTACCTACCAGGCTAACCCGGCCCTATATCTTATTATTTGAATCAAACGGATTTGTTTCATGACCAGAATGTGGAGAAATGCACTGCAGAAATATCATTTTATATGCAAAAAGGGGCGTTCGGGGTAGTACAGTTGATTCCCAATTCTGTGCAACTATTAAATTTATAGCACGTACAAATTATATTATTCAGATTGTTATGGAAGTTTTTTAAGAGAGTGATTTGAGTTATTAAGAGAAATATTATTATTTTAATTTATATCTTTCAAGAAGTTTTAGTATCTCCAACTTGAGCAGCTCCTTGACCAAATTTTGGTCAAGACGCATTATGTATACGTCGGTCAATTATAACGATACTGATGTTATAATCGATTTAGTCTACTTAAGTGTTGCAGAGAAAAGTGCATTAAAATTTTTTCTCTACGTTTTTTTTTTTTTTTTTTTTTTTTTTTTTTTTTTTTTTTAATATTAGTTGACGTACAGCAGATAGCGTTTTGATATTGCAATGAATGCTAAAAAAATTTGATTCCAAGCATGTTCTGATTCGAAAGTTAGGAATTTATTCAAAACTTCTAAGAGGGCAGAAACATATTGTATAATTTAAATAAGCTCAAAGCACGAAAGTTAATTTCTTGGAGAAATCATGAATAATATCATTGAATACCGTGTAATTCTGCTTCTAGACTTGATACCCGCTTGAATTTGGTTAAAAAGTTAAGTCAATGGGTTTCACAAATACGTCACATCTGAGAATTTTGCCGCATCTGATCACAATCATCCAGCCCGATGATCGCACAAATCCATCAATTTGAGAGGAAGCTGATTTTGATGTATACTTCCTGCTCCAGTATGGCCCACAAATTTTCGATGCGGTTCAAATCAGGTTATTTTTCAAGCCAATCGAGATGTAAACAAGTGTGGGCATAAAACATAAAACCAGCCATACATTCTTCCATCCAGATTAAATTTGCTGTTGCTGCCTTGAAAACATTCAGTATCATGGAGATGTTGACTTGACTAAAAGCATTACATAATCCTCTGGAATGTTAAAGTAAACATGCTAATTCCTGTTAGAGGCTATCTCAGCAGCGAGCCCAAACCATAATAAGAAAATCATCCTCAAAGCTAAAGCATTACAGACCTATCTCCGACATTTCATGATTTCTCTAGAGGGTTGTAATTTTGTCATGTGTTCTTATAATCAGTAAATAAACTGATATTTCCAACAAGTTAACCAAATGTAATTTTTTTTATTTATTTTCTTTTACTTTCAAATCTGTAACTCTGGACACCAATATTTTTATAAATATTATTTAAAAAATATTCCTAGAAACCAGTTTTTCGCTAAAGGATTGCATTGATTGACACAGTTATTCTTCATTATAACATTTATTTAATTTTACTTTATAAGTGACGTTAAATAGAAAATATATATCCAAAATAGACAAATCTTCATTCTTAATTTCACAGTCTTGTAGTTTAGAGCCCAATCCAGATGACAAAGGCGTTCTAGGATCACTGTCAAACCCGATTTTGTGCTTGTCTTTTCTAGAAAAGTAGCCAACTGTTGTGTTATATGAAGTACAAAGCCACAGAAACTTCCAACGATTAGTTCGACCTCAAAGAGACTCTAGTTCATGATCTTTATACTTCTGGAACTTTTTTTAAAATAAATCATTGGTCAGTGGATACCCGGAGCAAGGCCGTAGCCAGGATATTTTTTCGGTGGGGGGGGGATATGGTAAGAAGCAAGGACAGTTTCAGACATGCAAAGTAGGTGAAAAACGTCGTAACAAATATTGTTTATTCTGTTGTTCGCAAAACTTAAACTAGTAATTAAAAAATATTACATAATAATTATTTTTCAATTAATATTACATAATAATTATAATCGATTTGTAAACGAAGTTTACAAAGACATGCGACGGGGATTTGAAGAAAATTTTTCGATTACTTTTTTAGGACAAACCAGAATATCCCGAAATATGCTTAATAAAGTTAGTTAATAAAAGGTTTGATTCAACAGTTTTTGTTTTTGTTTTTATTGAGAGGCTCAAAGAAAGACTAAAAAGTTTGAATCCCCGAATTTCGGGGGGGATTTGTCCCGACGGTCCCCCCCCCCCTGGCTACGGGCCTGACCCGGAGGAGAGGAGAGTTGAGAATAGCCATTTGCAAGAATTAAAAGGGATCACTTTATCCCCATTCTATAGTATTTATTCATGAAATATTTTTTATCAGAGCAATTGAACCAAGTAAAATAAAGAAATAAATTTCTGTATAAATTTTTTGTAACGTAATGTTTTTGATTAAACTATTTTGGAAAAGTTTTAAACTTTTGAGCTAGGTCCTGTTTTGATAATCTTTAATTTCATCGTCATTTCAAGTCAGGTAATCTATGCGCATATTATGGGAAAGATCTTATCTACCATGTCTTATCTATTCATTGCAAAAGTGTTTTCGCAACTTGCATACATATTTTGAGATTTTCAAACTTTACATATCTGAATAATACTTTATCCTTTACTCATAAAAATAATTTACTCATAAAAATTCGTTCGAATTATTTTCAAGTAATATATATTGAGACTCCTTTATAACTTAATGTTTATTAAAAAAAATTAACATTTTAAATGCACTTTTTCTTGTAAACTGTTATTGAACTATCTAGTAGCAATGAAAAGCTAATCTTTAAATTTCATTTCTTTTAAAGACCAGTTAAACACATAAATTTATCTGTGAATAAGCATAAAATCCAGAGATTTTTTAATTGTTAATAAATAGACTAATAAAAAATAAACATTTTTAATTAAGATCCGTATCTGATACTTATTAATTATTATTATATTTATTAACTATGCACAAAGGGATATTTTCTTTTCTGAGGAGAAATAAGTTCAATAACTGAGAGAGTTAGAAGAGTAGAAATTTCAAGAGGATTTATATTGTTTAAAAATTAATGTTTCACCCCTTTTGTGGGAGAAATATTTTAATAATTAAACCAACTGTCTGTTCCATCAAATTGGCTATTTGTTTCAATTTCTGTATAATTATGAAATTCATGTAGTGTCGCTGATATATTATCGGAAACAGCGGCTTCCCCTTCATTATTCATAGAGTCTTTCATCCGGGAGTAAACAGCCTTATTGGATGATATGATGAGAGGGGTGAGGATCTAGATCCGGTGTTCAATTTTTCCAGGGACTCTTGTAAGTTTTAGGGCTCCATTCCACACCCTTAGAGAGAGAAAAAGGAAACTTCCGAACAACCTTAAAAGAAACTTTGCTGCTCCACCTTAGAGAGGATCCGGTAGAAGTGCTTGTCTCGCCTTATTTCTGTGGACATAAAAATTTCTATCTTCCCCTCCTCACTAGTAACTCATACGCAAGCATAAAAGATCTTAAGACGAACTTACCTGAAAGGTGAGTTCTAAGGTGCGGAGCATCCTTAAACAGTACCTTCCCTACAAAACCCGCCGGTAGTCAAACCCTCCCTTTAAGGGATCTTTCTATAAATTTGAGTTTTACTACACCGTCAGTCCAGATGTCTCTTTTCTTTGCCACTTGTTCCACTCAATTAGGACGTCCTTTTCTTTCTTATAAAAACGCTAGACCACGCGATGGTCGCGTGTTATGCCCCTCTCCCTTCCTCCTTGCCCATATCCTCTGGTTTCCATAGCAATACTTAAGAGGAGTTAGAAGATCGTGGACTATCACACCTGGAGAAGAGCCAAAAACTTTTCCAGGGCGTCCTTTTTCTCTTCCTAGTTTTGATGAAGGTTTGTAGTTGTATCATTGTCCTTTCCTCCCTCAAACCCCCATTTTTAAAGTTCTCCTGAAAAAAAGGCCAATCCCAACATTAAAACGAAAGGAGAGATGAAACTGACTGTACATTATAGATGATCAGTTTTATATCTCAAGAGAAAGTTATTTTTTTATATGCTACAATGAATAGTGTTTTTAAAAAATTGGAAAGTATTATTTCGGTAAATTTTACGATCATAAATATTTTTTGAAACTATCCACAGATGCTTTTAATCTTTATATTTAATCCAAAAACGAGCATTTAATTATTAAAAAGTCTTGTTGCAATAATATTAGCGAATAATGTATTAAGATGCACTTTATGAATATTTATTTTGCAGTTGTTATAAGTAGAATGAAATAACGAATGACAAAACAATTATTATATCTTTCTCTGAGGCAGGGTTAACCTGGTTGGTAGGGCACTGGGCCCATGTCCACGAGTTCTGGTGCTCGATCTCCGCCGGGCGAAGACTCCCCGTGTAGTAAATGGTGACTGAAGCACGTTAAATCTGTCGAGTCTCAAAGTCCTCCATGTTCTCATAACAAATCAATACCTCTGGGGGTACTGATCCAGGAGTTTTCTTGTCTTCTGGATTGGTTCAAAATTACAAGGCTACGGAGTGGAACATTAATTCGTAAATCCAAAATTGGGCTGGCTGCTCAATGACGGATATAAAATATATCTTTCTCTAGCATATTGATAAAATAAAAAAGAAATAAAACTCAAAATCACAAGTTTTGCTCTCTTTTTGAAAGAATGTCTGCAAACTAAGACAGAAATTAATAGTTACTATAAGAGCACTATTACTAACAATTTGAGTTTGGTTTGCAGGTCAGTTAAGTCTATAGTACAGTGTTTAAGAAAGACCTGATGAATTTAATAAGAACGAATAATTAAATTAGAACGAAACTGTTCGAAGAGTTCCTGAAAAATTCAATATTACAAAAGTCGTGTGTTTAAAATTCAATTTATAAGGAACTATTTCGACCGAATTCGTTCAAATTTTGTATTTCGATGTATAAAATTTCGTTCTGTAAAATGATGTAAGAAATTTCATTCCTTTCAATCAAATTTTTTTCGGCTGTTACCTAATAAAATAATAAAAAAAAAAAAATATTTACTAAAATTTATTTTTTGTTTGGATTTATCTTTGAATAAACGAATTTTGTAACTGTATAATTTTGTAACTGTGTGCAAAGATTTTTCGATTCTCTAATAAAGTTCTCCAGATGTACCAAAATACGCAGAAGTAAAATTTACATTATAGGGTCAAAGCTCTGGGGTCGCTCTCCTGACCAAACTATTGGGACTACATTTCACTGATTGCCCTTCCATATCTTGACGGTAAGGAATCCGAATACGCCGAAAAAAAGGTATATTCATTCAGACAAAGTGCGTCATAGCGTCTGATTTCGTAGCTTAAAATATTGTTTGTACTAATTAGTTAGTATATTTCAGGTCCTCCCTCTAAGAAATTAAGATTGAGTTCGATAACGTGAAGATCCGATCACTAAATCAAAAGTTGTTCAAAGCTTTCTCTTCTTTTTTTTTTGCGCACTGTAAATAGGAAAAAAAAAAAAAATAAAGCCAACCATCTTTAATAACGCTGGATCTAAGGATGAGATCTTCCTTTTTCAGGACTCAATCTTAAAGGTTAGAAGGGGTGACTTCAAATATGCTAAATAATTAGCATATTTGAAGATATTTTAAGTTACGAAATCAGAAGCAAAAACGTACTTTCTCTGAATAAACATACATTTTTATTAACGGGTTCGGATTTCTAACTCCCAAAATATAGGGAGTAGCCACAATCTGGGAAATTTGACTTTTTCCTGAGATTCGGTTGAATAGTTCCTGAGAAATCGAATTTTAAATATGCGACTTTTTTTTTAAATACCATTTTTCAGGAACTGTTTACCCGATTTCGCTCAAATTTTGTATTCTGCCATGTAACATTGCGTATTTTCAAATGATATAAAAAGTTCTATACCTTACAGTTAAAAAATCTTCCTACTATTATTTTATAAAATAATTATAAATAATAATAATAAATATATATTAAAAATTATTTTTTGCATGGAATCAACTTTGGATAAGCGAATTTTATATATTATTTATATATTATAATATTTTATATATTATAAGCGAATTTTTTATATTAGTGTGCAGAAATCTTTTCAATTTACTTAAGTGATCGAGATATGGCAAATTCCGCTAAGTTAAATTAACATTAATGGGTCCAAACTTTGGATCGCTCGGCTGACCAAACTATGAGGACCAAATTTCTCAGATTGCGGCTACCCCGCATATTTTTATGGTCAGAAATCCGACTCCATGGAAAAAAAGATATGCTTATTCAGAGAAAGTACGCTTTTGTGCCTGATTTTGTAGCTTAGAATATCGTCTACACTAATTAATTAGCATGTTTGAGGTCACCCCTTCAAATCATTAAGAATGAGCCCTAAGACTTAAAGATCCGATCATTAGATCAAAAGTTATTCAGGATGTCTGTCTTTTTTCTTCTTTTTTTTTGGTGCATAAAAAATTAAATTCAATTATTGACGTTTATTTACCTAATCTGAATAATAGGAAATATCACTTAATAAGTACTTATTTTATAAGCTTTGAAATATTAATTAAAAGGTTTTATAAATATACATAAGAGATTATTCTACTAATATCTTCTCTCAACTATTAATAGAAATAATATACAATATCTATTCACGATCCTTTATAGATAAAATAAAAGTTTGGTAGTAATCAAATGAATAGAATAATAATAATGTGAATACGCAAAGTGTTTTAAAATTCTTAAGCACAATTCAATATATTTTGGGATAGAACAACATTTTTAGACATAAATCAATCAAAAAATAATACATTTTTTCATCTAGTTCATCGATACTTTTTATCAAAGTAAAATATTTAGCAAATTTCAATGATTTTTTTAAAGGCATAGCTCTTGTTTAAGTAGTGTTTTTAATTTAGTTTCATTAGCAGGATAGTTTTTTTTTTAAATTTAAATTTCATCTTAAGTCATAATTGTTAGTAAACCATTACACGTAAAATGTTTTAATCAGCCTTTCAATAATATATCATGAGTTAATATTTTCTTATTTTAAATATTTCAGACATCCTTATTTAATATCAGGTGTATAAAATAAAGGTTTGCTTTAACGACATTGAATATTTTTTTCCAAATATTGGACAATTATATCTATTAGATGAAGAAATATTTGGCCGTTCCTATGAAGCTTATTGTTGCTTACTAAAAGAAGAACCTATCTACCTTATTTTGAATAATTTTCACATCATCTTCATTTTACAATTATAGCGCCACCAGTAAATTAAAGGGCATCTGTATATATGTCAAATTGGGGGAAAATTTTGCTGAAGAGCTCAAATCTGCAATTAAAAAATATATATTTTTAAAATTTTGAAGTTGATCCTCTCTCTTCTACAGAGACAGAGGTTTGGGAGTCATGTTTAGTATCAGGAAATATATCTTTTAAAAATATTTCACTTTTGTATTTTAAAATGTTTCATAATATGAGATATTTGCCCATTTCCATGCATTTTGGACACCCTTCATACATACAGACAAGTGCAAAAGGACGTGTATATTTCAAATAAAGTGCTAAGAAAAATTTTTTAAATTTTACCAGCATGTTTACCTTTTAATTTATTTTCGTAATCATATATCATTTACGAAAACGTTTTCCTTAAGAAGAAACAACATATCAATTCAAACTGGATAAACAACTGCACGCTATATCACATGCTCAAATGAGGACAATTTTGATATATTAACTGAAGTTCATACAACTAAACCAAAGGGTATAGTTACTGAAGCCAGTTACATATTTTTCAGAATATTATTTTCGCATAAATTTGCTTAATAGTTTGTTAAGTGTAAGTTCAAAATGAAGATAAAACAAAGGAAAATTATAGACATTTGAAAAGGGGGGGGGGAATAGTAATTAGAAAAATAACAAACAACTGATTTAAAAAAAAGGATGATTATTATTGTTTTTCTTAACTTCCTTCGTGTTTTCTTGTATTTATTTATTTTGTTATATATATATATATATATATATATATATATGGGGCAATCCATACAAAATTTACACCTATGATACAAAAATGATATAATTTATTTTTTTTATTGTTCTTTATTGAAAATAAATCGACACGTATTTTTGCGTTTTTGTTTAAATTGCATATTTTTGACTATACGAATTTTTGAAAATTTCGCTTTTTTGAGCACACAACTTTGCAAGTTATTTTTTAACGTACTGCCATCCAACAACAAAAATATTTAAACACACTTTCTTGAAGTGATTTTTCTCAAACTTTAAGAAAATCAACATTAAAATATAAAATTTTTTGTGTTTGACATAAAAAAATTCATTTTTTGAAAAAAACAGCTTTTTTTTCCAATTTGGACATCTTTGATTTTTTTTATATTTCGACAGTGTGAAGTATAATCAATGATGATATTAATTCCAAATTTTTGGAATGGTAAGACACTTTGTTCGAAAGATATAAACGAAACAGCATGCACGCCTCGCTCTAGTTTAGTAGGTAGCGGATGAGTTCGAGAACAGTCGAGCCATATTCTACATGCATACGAATCNATTCAGAGTTATTATGTAACTATAGCATCTAACAATACTATGCATTAAATGTAGCAAAATTTAAAGGATAATATTATTTAGATGTAACTATAATAATGAGCCTGTGACC